CTGTTCCACTGTAACAAATTATACCACTAATGCAAGATGTTAGTAGAAGTAGTATGCAGAGGGAAGGAGGAGTACATAGGAACTTTCTGTACGTTCTGCGCAACTTATCTGTACAACTAAAACTGTTCTAAGGAGCCTCATGGCGCAACCATGAAGTGCTTGGGTACTAACTGAAAGGTTGGCAGTTTGAACCCACCAGTGGCTCCTTTGGGAAAAGATCTGGCAATCTGCTCTCGTAAAGATTACAGCCTAGAAAAACCTATTGGGCAGTTCTACTCTGCCACATGGGGTCAATTATGAGTTGAAATTGACTCGAAGGCACCTAACAACAAGTACAAAACTGTTCTGAAAAAGAAAGTAAGTTAAGTTTTGTCTCAGCAAACTGAAAAATGAAACTTAAGCTCTGTTCCTTTCTGTGGTCTGATTTCATCCCCATGGTACTTATCTATTACCAACCATCATGCAGGAAGTAGGGAGGAGGGGGAGCCACACCCAGCACAAACTGGAAAGCCAAAATCACACAGCGGATGAAGCTGCCACACATTTCATGAGTGACCTTAGCCAACGTACCCCAAATCCTGTTTTTTTCACTTTCCTTTCCTCCGAAACTGACTCACTCAACTTGGTAGAATGACTTGGAGATTTTAAAAACAAACAAAATTAGACTATGTACAATGATTTGATGATAAAAATGTTATGAAAACTTCAAAGGCACATTATTCAAGATCATCGTACCATATCATGACTTCAAATGGTAACTCCATTTATGTGTTTTTTTTTCTTGTTTTGCACTAAGAAAGTTCTACTTTTCTTCTTTTGATCTATTAGAGGATTTGATTTCTTGGTGGAATGTAAAATTGTATCATGTCTCATTCTTTCACACTCACATAGCTCATAAAATAAAAATAAATGATTCTTCCTTATTTACTCCACAGCTAAACCTCTGGTGACACGTTGCAAACTTAGAGAAAAGCAGGAACCCATTCAGTTGCTTTCTTTTAGAAAGTTCTGAGCAACGCAACAATCACTGCAATAGAGTGATGTTTGTGGAACTAACTTTGCTTGGTGGCTAAGATCGAGACCTGCACTGTTTAATACATAGCCACTAGCCACAAATGGCTATTGAGCACCTGAAACGTGGCTAATCCTAACCAAGATGTGTAAAATACACACTGGATTCCAAAGACTTAGTACCAAGAAAAAGTTAAATAACTCATTAAACTTTTTTTTTAATGCTGATAACATCTTGAAATGGTAATATTTGAGGACTGAGGGTAAATAAAACACATTATTAAAATTATTAAAAGTATTACAATAATTATAATATTCAATTGTAAAATACTGATGTTTTAGATACATTAGATTAAATAAAAATTAAATAGTATTGCATTTTAAAAATAAGTGTCACTGTCTCTTTTTACTTTTTTTAAATGAAGCTACTAGAAAATTAAAAATTACGTTTTTGGCCTGACTTATATTTCTACTGGATAGCGCTGCTCTAGACCAGACAGTTATTTCCATTTCTGACACCCCACCTCTATTTCTGCTAAAATAAACTGTACTCATTCACTGGCTCTTTTAGGAAAAGGAGAGAGCTGCCTATTCTTCAGAGTCATTTATGCTGCAGCTAAGGAATAAGCCATTCTTCAGAGATGCCGGCAATCTTAGGTGTGCCTGCTCATTCACAGGGAACCCAATTTCCTTCTGTTATCACTACAATTTTCTTCCCATTAGATGTGAAACCTTGCTTACCTCTGTGGTTGTTACGGGGATTCCTGGGCCGGGCCTCCGGCCGAGGTCTTCGATTCTCCATGTCTGATTCACCTAAATTTCTCCACATTCACGTTACTTTCAATTATCTGGAAATCTGCACAGATTGAGAGTTATTAGTGCTCTTGAAACATAGCATCTAACAAAACAAAAACAAAATGGCATCAAGATAGTTTCCTACATTTTAATCATTTGTGACCTAAGAATTAAATGGAGATTTTAATCATGGGCACAAGTACTCAGCTCTGTGAATGCTTCTTATTTTTTTAGTGTTATTGTAACAGAAATACAAGTGGGTGGCTTTAATGAACAGAAATTTATTTTCTCAGTTTAGGAGGCCAGAAGTGCAAACTCAGGGCACAGGCTCTAGGGGAAGATCTTTGTCTCTTAGCTCTGTTCCTCGGCAATCTCCACATGGCGTCTGTCTTTCCCCTTTTTGCTTGCTTTACTCTGTGTCTAATCTGCTCTTTTTATATTTCAAAAGTCATTAGGTATAAGACATACCTTATACTGATACGGCCTCATTAACGTAACAAAGAAAACCCTATTCCCAAATGGGATTACATCCACAGGTGTAAGGGTTAGGATTCCAATACATATTTTTGGGGACACAATTCAATCCATAACAATGCCTAATAATGATACAAAACATTAAGTTCACAATTTAGATAATTTTAAGGTCATCCTTCCCTCTATCCTGGCACTTTCATGGTGTAAAAGAAATGTCATCAACTCCCATTCAAAACTACTGTTTGGTTTATGCCTTTAGCCAAGTTACTTCATCAGTTGCTAGGTTTCATTTTCCTCTCCTATAAAGCAGACAAATATTGCTGCCACGGTAAAAAGGAGTATGTGTTTGTTAATCCAAAACCATGTACTCACCACCCCACCCACCACTTATATTATACAGTACTCTATAGTTAATAATTAGTGAGCAGTTATCCCTTATCCTACTCTTTGGAACTCGGCCAACTGATTAAGCCCTTTGCTCTATTGCATCAAAAGAAAAGAAATTACATGTTTCAATAACCAGAAGGCTTAGCATTCACAGAGTGCTGTTTCCTCAGGACTAGTTAGAAATCTGCCATTCTTTCCTTCTATCTTGAAGATTTTTGACACTGGTCCTATAAGAGGAAGAAGATGCCCCTTTGAGGGAACTTTCAATCTAATTCACACGTATTACGTGAGCTGGGGCTAGGAAGAATGGGTGACTCAGAATACTCAGCAAAGGGCCTTTTAAGTCTGTCCCTCTCACTGAGTTTTAAAATGTTCATAGTTGGAAACTTTGAATAGATTTGGCATTATAGGTGGAGTAGCTTTTATCCTCATCAGAAAGGGAGTCCCTTTCCTTCCTGCTGGGAATATTTTTGACTCTCTTCCCTCAGCTTATCAAAATCAGCTCCCATGGTGCAGATTCAATATTTAGAATTTTTGTTTTTTTCAAAATTCCCTTAAGGAAAAATTTCTTCTTCCTCTTGTTGGGAAAAAAACAAAACAAAACAGGACTTTTCCAGGATAAAAGAAATGGAAGAAAAAAGACATTAGAAAGAAAAGGCAAGGAAAGGAAGGGAGGAACAGAAAATGCTAAGAAAAAAGCAGAGTAAAGTGACTTTCTTTCGGACTCCGGGACTAAAGGGTAGGATGAAGAAAATCAGTGATGTTCAAGCTGGTATGCGGGTCAGAACTAGTGGCGAAAGATAATTATCATAGTGGGATGAAAGAAAGTGGTTGAAGCAAGAACAGCAGAGCTGGGTTTCCAGGGGCAGTCTCCAGGGTCCTGAGAGAGTATAAGGGTCCTGATGGAAATATTACGGAGTCAAGGGAGAGCCAGGGTTGGGTTTTGGCAAGAAGGCTGAAGCGGGGAGCGGCAGAGGAGACGGGGGATTGCTAAGAGGTATGAGGGCCTCAAGAACGAGAGGGTAGGGGGCTTGCTGAAGTGATGGGGGTTCCTGAAATACGTATGAGGAGTCTCGGGTGCTGAGGATGGAGATGAATGAGATGACAGGAGTTGAGGACACAGGTCGATGAGGGAGGGTGGCTGGGGCAGAAAATGAGGGTAGAGATGGGGTGGGGGATACAGGAGAACTTGATGATGGGGTCAGAGGCAGATGTGGTGATGGGGGCGATGAAGGGGGGTGATGGGGTCTGTGGAGGTGAAGAGGGTGCTGAGGAAATGATGGGGGCACTGAGGTGGTGATGGGGGCGCTCAGGGGGGTGCCGCGGGGCTGAAGGGCGGCGGAGGTGGGTGACGGAGGTGTTGGGCACTAAGGAGGGGATGAGGCGTTAAGGGGTAACAGGTGTGCTGAGGGGGGGCGATGAAGGTGCCGAGGGTAGTGGAGGTGAGGAGGTGCTCAGGAAATGATGGGGGTCACTGAGGTGATGGGGGCGCTGAGGGAGATGTGGGGAGGGTGAGCGCTGTAGGAGTACGGGGCGCTGAGGGGTGGCGGAGGGGGGTGATGGAGGTGTTAGATAATGAGGAGGGGATGGGACGATAAGGGGTGATGGGACGCTGAGGAGAGAGGACGGGATGCTCAGGAGCTGAGGGGGCGCCGGGGCCGAGGCAGCCGCGGGCCGGCGCGGCGCCGGGACGGGAGCAGGTGCGGGGTCGGGGAGCGGAGCGGGGGCCACTCACCGGCTCCAGCGCGTCCTTTCGCCGCCGCCAGCGCCTCGCTCTGGCCCAGGGAAGCCCGCGGCCCCGCCCGGCGCGGCGCACTTTCGGTTTCCTTTCCCCGCAGACTCTGGGCGGGGCGAGGAGCCGGGCAGGCGGCCGGGGGAGGAGGAGGCCGCGGGGCTGCGAGCGAGGGGCCGGGCCCGGGCCGGGCCGCGCCCCCGCCCTCAGGCCCGGCAGGGGCGGGAGGACGCGCGATCTCGCCTCAGCTCCCCCCGGCAGCGGGGCCGGCGGCTCGGCTGAGGGGAGGGGACTGCGGGGGGCGGGCTAACTGTGCTGAAGGCTGTCGCAGGCCTCAGCCGGCCCCGGAGGAGGGGGAACCCCGGCCAACAGCTTGGTGCGTGTGAAGCGCGACATGGCGGCCAAGCCGACGAGCCTGGTGGCCTAGTGTGTACGGGGAAGGGGGCGGGGCTAGACGCGGCCTTGACAACCATTAGATCACCTCGGGCTGGGCAGCTTAGAGACTATATCTCCCAGGGGTCTCCGCGCGGCGCGGAAAGGAAGGGGAAGCGTGTCGAGCGCAATGCGCAGGCGCGAGAACTTCCTCTGTCTATATAAGCGAGGTGCAGGCCTGTGATCTTTCTTTCTTGTCTGCGGCGTTTTCTTGCTGGTTGTCCGGTGTAATCGGGGTTCATCCGATGTCGGCCCATCGCGGGTCGTCCGGTTTGCTACCATACGTGGTGAGTGTAGACCCTGTTGTTTTCTGTGGCCCTCCTTTTTCCTTCTTGTGCCTGCACCGTCGCCCTGGCGGCCCATCCTAGTTCTCCCTCCTTGTGATCTCTCCAGCTCTGACCTCAGATACGCCTTAGGGCCGTGGGGAAAATAAGCTGGAGCTGAGCAAATCCGCGAGTTATGCACGGACCCGAGGTGTCCTAGGCTGGTATAAGTGATGACTTTACTTTTTTCCCCATCATATCGACAATGCTGATGTCTTTGAACACTTGCCAGTTAGTTCTGATATATCAGCCTTGAAAGGCCCGGCATTGTTATTTTCCGACCGTGGGAAGATGGTGATTGATGCCTTTTCATTGTTCGCAGGTTAGCGTGGCCGGTGCGTACAGAATGGTTGTTGGAGTGGAACACACCTGGGCTACCACAGGCACCTCGTGCAGACGTTTCCAGCCTTCGGTCTCCTGACCTCTGCGGTAAGCGTTTGTCTCCTGGCCTGTTGAGGGGCCTCTTAGTTTGCTGGGAAAAACTAAAGACTGGAAGATTAACAAATAATTGAGCACTTTTTAGGTAATAGGTATTTAAGGTGTTCTGTATGCTTTATTACAATTCTCACAATTTACCTATTAGACCAGGCTGACTGGTGAACTTGAAGTTCAAGAGAACTAATAGCCCAAAGTGCAATACTCTCTTAACTGTAAAAGGTGTTTTATTTTTTTTAATGCCCCTTAAACCACAATTTGGGTTTCCATTCATTTGTGTTTCTGGATGAATAGATTTCTTGTGCACTTTGATTTCCAAGTGGATGGATATTGTGTTGAGTTTCCAGTTTTTTGTTTAAAATAAGAACCACTTTCTGTTGAGTCAGTGACCTAGTCTAATTCCCAGCTTCATAATTTTCTCACTCCCTTGTGAGGCACTCAAGGGCAGAACTTCTTGAGCACGTGGTTGTCTTTGATCTCTTCCTAACCTTAGTAAAAATCGTCCCCAGCCACACTGGTCTCTCATGGTTCCAGAGGTATTTGTTGTGACGACAACAGGACACAACACAGAAATGCTCAAATGTTGAATGACTTTGCAAACGTAGAAGCAGACCAGCCATATCTTATATCTTAAACTCTTGGTTCAAGGAACTTGCAGTGTCTACGTTGAAATAAAACATTCCTGCCTCTAGAGGCGGCCGTCAAAACTGAACTTCCTGCTGGCATATATGATGACTGAACTTTTTTCCCCGACAGATCGACCATGTTGATCTAACTTCTCTAAGCCAGTTTCTGTCTGATATGCCAGTTTGAACAGCTTCTGTGTCCCCTCTTCTTTGGGTATTTAGCTGATAGTTGATCTTTCTGTGTTTTTGTCTTAGGTTTGCTGCCAGCAGGAATCTGACTTTGAATGGAACAGGAGGAGTCCCAGTGTGGAAAAGGATTGGTAAGTGATGCCCACTTGTCTCCACCTGAATAAGATCTTCGGAGAGAAAATTCAGTAACTGTGTTTCATACTGGTTTTCAATATATGAAAACCTCACAGTTTATCTGTAACCCAAAACTGGCTGTTGCAGCTGATGACAGAACTTTTTTCCCCATCAGATCGGCCATGTTGATCTGTTAACTAATAGCCAGTTTTTTGTCTGATGCATCGGCCCCGGAGGTGAAATCTGTCCTTGTTTTTGTTTTTTTTTTTTAAGTAGAGATTGGCTTGTTCTCCCCCTTTTCCAAGCACTTTTGATCTTATCTGTTTGCTTTCTACAGGTCAGGAGCCACGTGTCACAAGGTAGTAAGTGGATTGATGACACAGCCTGATGTTTTCTCCTGGCTTGTCTGTCCTCTCTAGTAGGTGAGTTTTCTGCAAAGTGGTGAATTCCTCAGTGAAATGGTGATTAAGTGGGCTTAGGGCAGAGGCAGAGAGGCCCACTTGGGAGTGACCTTAAAGTTTTCTGGCAGCGTGGCATGGGTCCCATTCTGGATCCATGTCTTCTGTCTCCTTATTTCCTGTAAAGATTAATTATATTGAGGTTAAGAATTTTGACAGCATGGGTACTGGGTTGTAGATGGTAGGTAGTTTGTCTCAGTGATGGGAAGTCTCCTGGCTCCCTTAGTCTGATACTTATTTGTGCATCCATCTAGTTCTTTCTGCGTAGCTAAGTCTCAACCAGATACCCCCATTGCCCTAACAAGTGGCACTTTGCACCAGAATGGAGCACTAACTAATCCACACTTTTGTTTTATTTTTAGTAAATTTCTCAACCATGAACTTTGAATACAAGGCCCCTTGAAAAAAAGACCCTGTGCATTACCCAGAGGTGGAACAGACTGCACCAGAGTCCTAGGGTGGTTATATACTGAGCTTTAGCACTATCCAGCGTTGAAAAACCTGTGCCCTATTTTTTTTTTTTTTTTTAATTAAGAAAAGGATTATTAGGTCTTTGTAATATTTCTAGCTTTGTTGTTTTACTACTTGGAGAAAGAAAATAAAATATTTTAAATAAAAATGTTCTTGTATTTGGTGTAACCATTGGTGAAAAACATTCAGCAAGGGTAGCAAGTGGCAACTGGGTACCTACCAGTTTCATTTCAGTAATTATTGATCCCAGGTTTTATTGAAAGGAAATATCTTGTCAGGCAATTGGTTCCTAAGATACATGTTGTTGCAGTAGATTAATTTTTTTATTACTATCTTTTTGTTTATTGCTGTAGTTCAGATGAATTTTAGTTTTCAGATTAGTGTACCATAGAAAAATTTATACACATGATTATGTGACCCTAATTGCTCTCCCCATACTGTGACGGCACACTCCTCCTTTCCACCCCTGATTCCCCGTGTCCGTTCAACCAACTCCTAATCCTCTCTGCCTTCCCATCTCACCTCCAGACCAAAGCTGCCTGTTTAGTCTCTTGTGTCTACTTGAGCTAAGCGGCACACTCCTCATGAGAATCACTTTATGTGCCACAGTCCACTCTAATCCCTGTCTGAAGAGTTGGCCTTGGAAATTGTTTTAGTTCTGGGAACTAAATAGAATCCAGGGGCCATGCTTTCCGGGGGTCCTCCCAGTCTCAGTCGGACCATTAAGTCTGGTCTTCTTACTGGAATTTGAGTTCTGCACCCCACCTTTCTTTTGCTCCATCAGGGACTGTTGTATTCCCCATCAGGGTGGTCATTGGTGGTAGCCAGGCACCATCTAGTTCTTCTGGTCTCAGGCTGATGACGTCTGGTTTATGTGGTCCTTTCTGTCTCTTGTGGGCTGATACTTGTGTCTTTGGTGTGCAGTAGATTAATTTTACCGCTCCTGTATCTTGATCAGGTTTCTCTCAATTCCTGACGGAGGCAGACAAGTTGGAGCATTGGTTCAGTCACTGGCTAGGTTTGAACTGTGGGTTCCGTATAAGCTGTGTGGCCTGGGGCAGACTACTTCACCTCTGAGCTTCAGTTTCTTTAGCAGAATGGAGATAGTGACTGAGGATTAAAGGTGTGCCGTGTAAAATTAGTCTGGTTTCCAGTACAGCCAAGTAGATTTGGCTGTTAAAACCAAAACCCATTGCTGACTCATCGCAATTGTATACAGGGCAGAGTAGAACTGCCCCATGGGGGTTTCCAACGCTGTTACCTTTTACGGAGAGAGATTGTCACATCTTTGTCCTGTGAAGCAGCTGGTGAGTACAAACCACATAGCAGAAAGATTTAGTTACAAAGGTTGTCTGGGTGTGGTCAGTGTATGGAAACTCCAAGGAGATGGTGGAATAACCCAAGGCTAGCAGCAGAGGTTCTGTTACCATCCTGAGGCCTGAAGTGGTGTGGGAAGGGAGCAGTACCTGAAATACAGAGGGAGACTGCAAGCTGGCTGTGACCTAGAGGGAAGGAAGCTGGGGAAAGAAATGCCCATCACCTCGACCTCCAGCTGAGGCTATGGCAGAATTAACAGGAGGCTAGAGAACTTGAGAGCCTAGCATGTGAGCCAAAGACCACCAGGAACACTGGTGTAATCAAATCGGTAGTCTCCATGTTTGCTGCAGCAAACCAGGGGCCCTGGGGGAGGGGCTTTTATAGGGTTTGGGTTTATCCTGGATGATTAAAGAGATGTTAAGGAAGTAAGGACCAGCCTGGGTTTTGATACTGGCAATGAGCGCGGGCAGTTGAGCAGTTGGGTATTGCAGCAATGTTCTGGAGGTGGGAGCATGGAAATGGGCTGGGAATGTCATTGGTTAGAAAGCAGCCATCACTTAGGAGGAGAGTTGTTAAATTATTTTTCCAGGTCGCCTCCTGTGTCTCCTTACAACATTGTTTATATTGTTTGGAGGATCCTAATTGATGACCCAAACCAAAGCCAAACAAACCTGTTGCCATCAAGTTGATTCTGACTCATAGTGACCCTATTGGACGGAGTAGAATTGCCCTATAGGGTTTCCAAGGCTGTACTCATGGAGAAGCTGGTGGATTCAAACCACTGATCTCTTGGTTAGCAGCCAAGTGCTTAACCACTATGCCGCAGGGCTCCTGGTCTGATGGTCCAACCTAGCAAACCTGTTGCTGTCGAGTCGATTCCGACTCAGTGACCCTATAGGACAGAGTAGAACTGCCCCATAGGATTTCCAAGGAGTGACTTGTGGATTCGAAATGTCAGTCTTTTGGTTAGCAGCCAAACGCTTAACCCACCGTGTCATGAGGTCCCCGTTCTAATGGTCAGCAGCTAGATTTTCACTTTCTGCCCACTTGTTTCTCATCTGTCTCTCCCCGTTGGCATATGGCAGGCCGCTCAATGAATCAGACCCACGCTTTGTGGCAGGACTGTGCTGAAGCACTTGACACGTGCACTTTTGCTACTTGTCACAGTCCTGTGAGGGGAGAATAGCAAGATCCTTAGTCTGTTTGCACAAGTGAGGAAACTGAGGCTCGGAGAGCTGTGGTCCCCAGCGCAATATAAGACAGGATCGGGTCACAAACCCTGATCTGTTTGACAAACAAATGCCCTTCCTTTTTTCTCTTCAACTTGCTGACTTCTACTACAGCCAGGAATGTTTTCTATCCTTTGCATCCTGAGAAGTCTCTAGAACTATATCTTGCACATAGTAGGTGTTCAATAAAGAAAGAAAAAAAAAAAGACCACTGATTCCTTCAACATTCTTAACAAATTTGGCAGTCCGAAGACACATTTTGGGGCCCACAGAATGTTTCTTAAAGAAAATATTCACATAACAATTCATTCTATAAATATTTATTGAGTATCTACTATGTGCCAGAAGAACCCTGGTGGCGCAGTGGTTAAATGCTTGGTGGCTAACCAAAAGGTCGGCGGTTCGAACTCACCAGCCTCTCTGTGGGAGAAAGATGTGGCAGTCTGTTTCCGTAAAGATTCAAAAATCCAAACCAAACATTGCGGTTGAGCCGATTCCAACTTATGGTCGACCCTATAGAACAGGATAGAACTGCCTCAGGGTTTCCAAGGCTGTAATCTTTACGGAAGCAGACTGCCACATCTTTTGCAGAGTGGCAGTGGGTTTGAACCCCTGAAATTTCAGTTAACAGCCAAGCACTTAACCCCTCCACTGCCAGAGTTCCTCCATAAAGATTTTGAAACCTCCATAAAGCCTTTGAAATCTTATGGGGCAGTTCTACTCTGTCCTACAGCGTTGGCGATGAGTAAGAATCGACTTGACGGCCATGGGTTTTGGTTTTTTACTATGGGCCTAGGCACTAGGGCTATACTAGTGAACAAAACAGGAGAATTTTTGCCTGCATGGGAACTGACATTGCTAGCAAAGGGAGAAATGGAATAATGTCCCTGTAGCAACAATAGCTAACATTTATTGAGCCCTTACTATGTGTTAATCAGTTCTTTACATGTAATTAAATATCTATTCTTCCAACAACGTGAAGAGGCAGATAATATTAACCCCATTTGCTGAGAGAAGCCAGTCTTAACAAGTTACATATTGTATGATTCCATTTATTTGACATTTTTTAAAAGATAAAACTAGTGGTTGCCAGGGACTATTGGCGGAGTGTATGTATGAGGGTGAATTGAGAACACAGACTCAGAGATGCAAAGTGATTTGCGTAAGGTCACAGCTGATAAGCAGCAGAGCCAGACTCAAACCCGGTCAATCTGGCTCCTGAGTTTGTAACCCTCAGCTTAATTACAGCCTGTAGAGCCCTGGTGATGTAGGGTTTGAGAGCTTGGCTACTAACCAAAAGGTTGGCAGTTTGAATCCACCAGCACCTATGAGTTGGAATTGACTTGATTGCAATGGGTTTATTTAATTGAAGTTTAAGGGGTAGTGGAAGGAACCAGTTTCCAGCTTTTAAAAGTTCAAATGAATTGTACATTTAAGACTGGTTGAAACAGCGGTTCTTTTTGTGATGTATATATTTTACTACAATTAAAAAAAAAAAGTTCAAACGCTTTCCTAGACTTCCCTGTTGGTGCGCCATCTCTGAGGTCAGAAATGGCTCCAAATGGCTGCCAGCCAGGGGCCAGAGAAGCTCCTGAGAGATTTCCCAACGACCTGAGTCTGTCAGCTTTGCTGTCATTGCCAAGGTTAAGCTTCCCTGAGCTCCATGGGCAATTGTAGGCCTTTGTCTTAGGATGCGTTCTCCAGAGAAGCAAAACCAGTGAAGTATATAAATATATGTATATATAGAGAGAGATTTATATTAAGGAAATGGCTCACATGGTTGTAGAGGCTGTAACCTTCCAAGTCCATGGATCAGGAAAGAGGCTTCTCCTGATTTACATAGCTGCAGGGGCTGGTAAACCCAAGATTGGCAGGCCAGAGAACAGGGTTGTTGCTCACAGGCTATGAAGATCAACGAATCCCAACATGAGCAGGCAAGACGGCAGGTAAGCTGCTAGCTCAAGTCCCAAGAAACGGAGGTCAGATGAATAGGAGCCAGCTGCAGGATTCAGAACAAGCAAAAAGCCCCTGAGCCCTGCCTGAATGTCCACCCACACTCGATGCAGGCCACATGCCCAAGGAAGCTCCCCTTCAACTGATTGGTACCTACAGCAGATCCCATCATGGGGGTGATCACTTATCAAATCTCAACAGGGAAGTGATCACAGCATTATACGACTGCCAAAATACAGAATCATGGCCCAGCCAAGTTGACACACAATCTTAACTGTTACAGTTCACCTCTTGTCAACTTGACACCTGTATACATCTCCTTAAACCATACATAATCTCTGAATAAAGACAACTATAAAGTCATACTTGGGCCTAGTATGATAAAATGAACACACAGAACTGAAAATGCAATAGCCCTGTTAACATCTTAT